AAGAATTAAACTTCTAGTGAAAATAATTGAGATAATAATGAAACTATATGAGAATAGACAGTTTAGCATTATAACAGAGTTTAGAAGTACAGATTTTATAAAAGCAGGAGATAGTATAGACCAAGGAGAGGTATTGTTTTCTTTGGCCTGGAGGATTTTCTATGATCCTTTGCTCTGTAGGGTACAAGATGCCAAGCTAGATTACAAAATGCATAACCTAGAAGCATATACGAACTCAATGAATACTGAAGTAGATATAAGAGTAAGAGTGTTAGCATATGCAGATGACACAATGTGGCTGACAAATAGTTAAGAAAGCATACAAAGAACAATTAACATTGTACAAGAGTTTTATAAGTTAAATAATATTGAAATAAATCCGAACAAGATTAAACTTATAGTGTTAAAACCAGGTAAAAAAAAAAATGCAAAAGATGCTACAATCTAAATGAGTGATCTAAAAATCAAAATTATAGCAAAAGATTCTAAAAAAACTACAAGATTCTTAGAAGTTTGGATATCAATCAAGAATCAAAAAAAGTCAGATATATTCAAAGTGAAATGTATAGTAGGCAAGATTACAGGCTTATTTAAGCACAAGCAAATGTCTCTAAGCCAGATCATATATATAAACAATGCAATCCTTATACCTACTTTTGAATATAGATTAATGATTTCATGTTTAACTAAAGCACAGTGTGAGAGAATACACCAACCAATGATTCGTCTAATAAAGTGGAAAATGTCGATACTATCCACGACAGCGAACATAATAACAAAACACCCAGAGATTACAGACCTCAAAAGTCTTTGGAATAGACACATGGAGCATTATATATCAGAATTACTAGTTAAACTGAATACACCAGGTTTATTAGAAGAATCGTCAACAAGAAGGCTCAAGCAAGGCCAGTTAAGAGCAGGATTTTTGAACTGTATTTTAACAAATCAGAATATTTTAGCAAAGAAAGTGACAAAAGGTCACAATTTAGGTATAAACATTTTGCAACAAGCACACATTTTGGGCTTTGTAATAGAAAAAATGAAATCACAAAGAGTTGGGATTTAGACATTACACAAATGGCAAATAATAAAGAGATCGCATGTGTCTTTGAGCGTTTAAACATGGCTTATGAAGAAATGAAAGCAAGCAGCCTGGGTCTATTTTTGGTATCACAACTCATTGCAAAAGATGGCAAAACAATGTACACATGGAATCAAGTCAAATTGGCAGGTGGCATGGGTTTAAAAAGAAAAAAAGCAGACTGGTTCGCTAAATTAGAAGATGAAATAATAGAAAATTCTCTCACACAAGTAGTCAAAAATAGATATAACTGTAAAGCAAATAATGTTAATGCACTTAGATTAGAAACAAAAGAACCAAATGCTGACAAAAGATTAAAAGAATAGGTTTGCTAGAAAGATGAAGCAAATGCAACGCTCAATTTAGAAAAAGTTAAAGAAAAAGAAAATGCATATATAGAAGTTGAAAAGTATAAAGAAACAATTTTTTGTTATGAGAATGAAATGCAGCAGTTTTTAAAAATTGATGAAAGAAGTGAAACTTACATAGTTAAGTGTAGAAAACTCAAAGACATTTCAAACATAGTTCAGAAAACAGAAAAAGGAACAAAGTTGATTTTTGAAAAAAGACACATTGAAGAGATAGTTGGTAAAAAGAAAGTGAAAGTGCTAATCAAAGCAAAAGAGGTGAAAAAAATAAAGGAGAAAAGTAAAATAGTTATAGAGTATGAATGTTGGGAAATGGTCTTAGTTAATAAAATAGTTTATGATAATGTAATTAGATTTAGAATAGCAGAAAGTTTAGAACATAATAGAGATCTAAATAGTTTATTTTTTTATACAGATGGCTCACTCGGTACTGCTGAGGTTGAAGATAAGTTAGTAATGGGATGTGAAGTAATTCAAACTACAGAATCAGGTCAACTTTTGCGTCAAATATCTTGTGCGACAAGGAGGTGGTTCTTGTCTACAAGAGCAGAAATGGTAGCAATATTACTCGTGTTACTAACAACACCCTGGGGAAGAAGATTAGAGATACAAATGGATAGTAAAGCAGCAATATTAGCAATCAAAAGAGGCCTAGAAATAGACAAGATAAAACCTTGGTTGAAGACTAAGAATTGTGGTTTAGTAACAACAATTGTAGAGGTAATCAAGACAAAGAAGCTAAATACACACTTTATAAAGATCAAGAGTCACTTAGATGACTTATTTAACGATCTTGCAGATTTAAAAGCAAAGAAAAGGTCCAAGTCAACAGAGTATCTAAACCCAGAAGCATTATATATGAAAGGTCACAAAATAAGATATACGTGGAAAAGTAAATTAGTTGAAAAGCCTATTCGTTCCTTTGTTAAAATGATAGGGAGAGTGCTATTGAAAGCAAAGTAGGCTTTCTTGTACAATATATACAATGAAACTTATCAAGAAAGAAAAAGTACTCAATCTTGGTTTATATTACGCAACATAATGAGGGACGAAACCAGACAATGAAACTATACTTTCAAATCAAATGCATTGCAGCTCTTTGAAATGAAGTGTATAAACAACATGCTCTTGATATTTGAAAAACTCAATCGGAGAAGGCCCAAAACATACAAAACAGATAAATGTGTTATATGTAAAAAAAAAGAAGGAGAATGTAGAACACCTGGTGAGCTGTGAAACTTCTCTGAACCTATTTCGCAATCTAGAGAAGCAAGTAGTAGAAGCAATCTTGCTAGAATTAAAAAAAGGTAGAAAGTATGAAGAAAACCAAGGAAGAAGTTTTAACAATGCTAGGAAAGAGATCTCAAGCTGAAGAATTACGTAAAAGAGAAAGATGGATCAGAGGCCTAATTACAAAAGAAGACCTTGATGAGTTGAGACCTCTCTTCAACTTAAATAATCAAGCAAAGAATTTTCTAGGCAGACTTTGGAAGAATTGGATGAAAGAGGTCTACAAGAGAATATGAGTTGCAAGATGTAAATTAGTACAGGAATGGGAAAAGGAAAATGAGATCACGCCAAAAGACAAAAGAAGATCATATGAAAAAACGAGAAAAAAAAAAAAAGAGAAGAAACTACCTAATAAACGTATTATTACAAAGTAGATTGTAATATAGTGTGATTATAGCATAGAATAGTTAGTTTATATTCAAGTATTTGCATTATTATATTATATTATTAGTTATTATTATATAGTTATATTTATTAGTATAGTATTATTATCTTATTATTGTATTAGTTATAGAAATATTATTGGCTAGTTATATATGGCACAGTAATGCTACATGAGTGCCTCTAAGTGCCTCTGTATGAGTGCCTCTAAGTGCCTCTGTACGAGTGCCTCTGAGTGCCTCTATACAAGTGCCTCTAAGTGCCTCTTACACAGTTTAGCTGTTATATCTCTTAAATGTAGAAAAGTTATATAAAGGAAGCCTTTGCCCCTTCTATTCAAGCAAGAGAATTCTCTACCCTCTCATAGTATCTAGCCTTACCTTTTTACACTTCTTGTCCTTGTATAAAGTGATACTCTCTCTAGGGTAATTCTAGTAGGTGAGGTTATCCTCCTTGACCTATAATAAATAAAGTATTAACTTATATACTGTCCCTATGTCGAACCATTTGCCTCTTGCTAGTGGAAATAGTGCATATTTTACTTCCACCCCATGTACACCCCAATAGCAGGGTCCCTGCACCGGGTGACCTTGTTACCTTGCTATGTGTTGACCAAGAAGGCTATAGCATTGTAATAGTATTAAAAAAAAGGAAAAAGATAAAGATATAGATGAGGATAAAAAATAGAGTTTAATTTTAGAGATAACTAAAAATGAGGTTCTAAGGTGGATTGAAGAAGGGCAACAGGCAAATTGGTGAAAACTAATATATAGTCTTGATGGGCGATAAGATCTAGCTAGTAATGTATTATTGAAGCCAATTGCAGGATAAGGTAACACAGAAGCGAATCTTACTATAGCAGGTCGCACATAAATACTCAGTAAGCAACTGGGTAAGTCTCTACTTGTAATTTAGGTACTATAGAGTATAACTCTGTAGAAAATTTTAATAGTTTAGATAATTATTACAAAGCCTAATAAAGTGAAGGCAAGACTGCAAAATTTGTTAAAAAAAAATAATAATTGTTATTAGCAATTAATAGTTATTTTAAAAAAATATTTATTTTAAAAGCTTTTAGTGACCTGTGGGTCGATAGCATAGCGGTTATGCTCCCAGGTTGCAAATCGAATGGTTGCCGGTTCAATTCCTCCCAATGGCGGATTAATGAAAATTTGAAAATGGAAGTGAAACACCATGGGGTACAGGGAACCCGGGATATCTACAGATAGACGTATTCAGGGAATAGTTATTCCAAGAAGTTGTGGCTGTGAAACGAGGTGTGTTAGAACCCCGATTTGGAATAATCGAAATTACAAGACGTAATGTGAGACCAAGTCTGATAAAGATACTACAAGAACTCGTGGTGACACCAGATTGGCTGGTAAAATCCCAGTACAATAGAAAGGTGATTCGACCTCTCCGGAGTGTCATGCAGGCGGTCGGATCTAGGCCCAATAAGGAAACTGGAGAATATCGAGCAACAGAATTCTAGGTGGATACATAGTACTCATATGGGGTTATAGAGGTCCCGTGATCCTAAGTAGCGTGCATACTAGGGTCATCTATATAATAGTTGGAACCAAAGTCATGACAAGACTTGCTGAAGAATTAAAAAAAAAAAAAAAAGCTTTTAATTATAAAAAAATTGTAAATAAAGTTTAATGTTTAGTTTGATAGAAAGTTTAAATTGATGTTTAAGTTATTAATATATTTTAAAAAATTTAAAGAGATAAAAGATAAAGTTGTTAAAGAATTTGCATTTAGTTTGTTAAAAGAATGTATATTGCTAGATTTTAAAGAGTTTTATATTCAAACTTTTGTTTAAGAAGAAATTTATATATTTTTTCAATATATTATATACTGTATAGATATAAAGCTTATAAAGTGTAAAAGCATATTAAGTAGTAGAATATCATTGTATTTAAAGATAATCTAAGAGATCTTTTGATTTGTTTAGTTAAAAAAGATGAGAGTTTAGTAATTTGTTGACTTGTTAAAGGTGTAGCTTGAAGAAGATATTCTAATAAGGAAGCAAGAATTGTTTTACATAAAAATAAAGCATGCCTAATTTTTTTAAAAATATAGTTGAATATATGACAAATTTCTAAAGTCTAGATTTGCAGTAATAATGTAGGGAACGAACCTTATTTAAGGTTTCATAAATGCTTTATTAATAACAATTCATTACTGTGCTTGCTATTTACTAAAATTTCAATTTTCTAAAAATTTGGGATCTGCCCGGATATTCAGTTAAAGTATTTTGATACGAATTTTGTATCTTTCATCAGAATGGAATGAACAAAATGGAGAGAAACAATACATATACAAGAAAAAATAAACGACTTTTTGTAATGATCAAAAGCTTATACGTGAATTATTATCATTATAAGGAATCGATCAATCGATTTTGAAAAAAATCGACCGGCTAAACCGAAAATTAAAATTTCTTCATTATGGGCCGGGATTACTATTAATCAGGACCTTCACCACCGGGAATAAGCTTTTTAAAAAACAATTTTTGGGCGTTAGATAGTTACTCATACCATATAAAACATTTGATTATTTTTTGTTACCATAGTAATATTGTTTCCATTCAATAAAATCTGGTCTAGATGGGTTGTTTTACGACCTTCCGGCGTATTTTCGCTTAGAAATAATATAAGTATTTAATAAGAATCTGAGGAGTTTAACAAAAATTGAATTACGTAAAGAATGCTTACTATTCTGTTACATCTTCGAGTACCATATCTAAGATAAATGGTTATTAGGTTAAGAATATATATTAACGCGTCATTATCATTTCAACAGTGGAATTATAAAGTAACTAGTAGATATTTAAAAAAGGATACTGACGTAGTCGTCGAAACCTAGTAAAGTGCCAGTAAATTCCTTTTCACTTTTCATAATAACCCAAATCTTTGAACCAATACATTTGTCAATTAGCTCTATTTTATATCGTACAACCCGGTGAAAAGCCAATATAAGAAAAGAAAGTATAAGTCAAAGGTTATTGCTTTTGAAAGAGTAAAAAGGAATAAATTTACCTAATGGAAGAAGTTGGTTCGTTGAATTTGTTGCTGAAGCCATGACGTTATTAGTATATTATTAAAAGAATATCCAGTACTCTAATACAATCTAATGAGATCATGTGCTTCATATGATTTTCAGATGCTGATAATAGATAAATTCTAAATTCTACATCTCACTTTTTTTGTCACGTAACCTAAAAAATATGGGTTTTTATGAGCTCCTTTGCATTTCTCGAGCAAATCTAATGGAGGTTATATAAAAATTATGTCAAGAATTATAATTAATATCGAAATGATTCTTAAAATTTTTATTCTCATAAACAATAGGCAAATTTAAAAAATTTAGTTAAAATTACGGCCAAATATGTATTAGAACGGGGTGGTGTTGTTAGAGGCTTTGAGCATTGGGGAACTATGCCGTTAGCCACCAGAACACGAAGGCATCAAGAATATCACACTGATGGACAGTACGGCTTAATTTATTATTCATTATTTTGTTTATTATCCGGCAGCTTACTATGATTGTGCTGCCAAAATAACTGGAGTTATTTGGCAGTTTATGTAATCACTGCCAAAACTCGAGTCATTTAGAAGCACAATCGTCGTAAGATGCCGGATAATTCCGTTATTGTATGCTACGCTAGCCAATAACTCCTAATGAATTATTTTACAAATAATTCGAGTTATTGGCTGCTTCGCATCCAATAACTATATATTATTTTACCGAATTCTTCTTAAAACCGTCTTTTCATTTTTTTTAATAATAGTTTTTGGTTGATGCATTTTGATACTAACCCAGTGGTGTTGGCTGAAATAAGGAAAAAATTAAATTCAGACCCTCGAGTGATTCGTTGCAATATTGTAAAATTCGGAAATAAATTGGAAGATATTGTAACAAGACCGGATAAGACATCATAAGAATATAAGCGTATTAAAATTTTTTACGTGTTTAATTTTACATTTCTATTCTTGGTATTTTTACTTTTTTTTCTATACTGTTTTTCATCTGTAATACATTTTGAACATTGACACAAAAAATAATATTCACTTAGAAGTTTCTGTCTGCGTGATTGAAGTGGCAATAAGCCGTTCTCATCTTGTATGTAAGAAATTGTAAGTTCTTCTCCTGTGATATAAAGTAAATAATACAAGGATAATAGATTTAATTTCAACTTATGATAGTGATTAAGTGATGAAAATTAATACCTTTAATAATATTGCGAAGGGCCACAAACTTCATTTCACCACACAATTTGTTACTATTACACGATAATTCTGATTCATCATCTACTAGAGTTGACAGTTGTATTTCATCTTTATCATAATTATCTTGAATTGCATCACAATTCGCGTCACAAGAATGATTAAAGAAAGATGCGTATGGATATATGGCTAATAGTAAACTGTGAATGAATAGCTGTACGGATTATCAGATTAAAGATGCAAATGTTTATCCGTGAAAATTTCACCCTACCTCTACCAAACAAACCATTCTTTCCCTTACACTTATAATATACACCAAACCCATTACTCTCGATTTTTGAGACCATGTGTAAGAGGTCTTCAAACTTTGCATCTTCATCAAGTAACTTTGATGACTTAAACAAATTCATCAAAAATTTTTCATGTTTTAGCCAATCTCGTTTAATATCATTTGGCCAATCTAAATAATGGGATTGTAAGAGCAAAAAATCTTGAAAACTATTTTTTAAAGCAATCGAGGAGTTTTTTAAAATAAAGACGGAAGATGTTTGTTCATTTAATTCTGGAGAGTTTTCATTATTGTTAATTGAAGATTCTTTCCCAATATCTATTTTCTCTTTTGAATCACTCTTTTCTATTAATCTCTCTGCCAAAATTTGTACCAATAATCTCACAACACTTTTCATATGTTTATCATTAATATTCCATGATGAAAATTTTCTTGATATATTACAAGTTAGTTCATGTTTCAAAAAGAGGGCTTTGTTGCATATAACTTTTTCATCATTATCTTTTAAATTTTTTTCATCAATTTTTTGTTCTATAGGAAAACATTGGTTAAAGCACTCACGATCGCAAAAATAACAAAGATCACAAGATTTACAATAAAACTTAAATGAATTTGAAAAAGGATTATATATTTTACATGTATAACAATATCGTTTTCTGTGATTGTCAAACGGGGCCGTTGATAATGGAAGACACTTTAATAAAAGTAATGAGAATTATAAATGAGATTTTATAAGTAATAATGATGATAAATAAAAATATATACCTTCAATACGACTTCACCTAATGTTATATCTCTTTTTGCAACAAAATAACGACCTTTCGTTTGAGAATAAGTTACATTTAAAGGATATTGATTAAATTTTGCCGAAGGAATTGTGTTTTCCATTTATAAATATATATCAGATATATAGAATGTAAAAGACATAAGCTAAATTTTATTAAATACTGATAAAAAATTTATCTGTTATCGAATCAATCAAAAAGTAGATCTTGAAATAACGATATATATAGACATTAATATGGAAATATTAACGTTAATAATATATAAAATTTCGTACGTACGTACGTGACATTAAATATCATCGTCACAATAAGGGTCATCACTAATCATAGAATCGAATTTTTCTTTGCCTTCTTTCATTCGTTTTTTACATTCCTCTAATTGTCGTTGCCAATCAGTTCTCCACATAATAATAATAAGAATAATACAAATGGTAACTGAACAAAATGTCTCTCCAAACCAAAGACCATTTAATCCATATCCTAATTTAAAAGCTGTAAATATACCAATTGGTAATCCTAGAATGAAATATCCAGGTGTGTTAAGGAATGCGCCAATATTTTGACGGCCTTGTCCACGAAGAATACCATATCCGATTGAGTTTAGGCCATCGGATATCTTTTTATAAAGTATGAAATGACAATTTGATATACAGTATATATACAATATATATATATATATATCCAATATTTAAACGGATATTATTGAATAAATGGATACCTCAAAGATGCCAGCCAATGGTAGGACGTAGGATGTACATTTGACTACATCATCATCAAAGGTGAAAATGTATCTATATATAATATATATATATATATATAAATTATGTATAAAATTAGATCAGGAAAGCAATTATATACAGTATATATAATTTGATTGCACTTAACCCCCAATAATCCTTGAAAACTATCAATATGGTTGCATTAAATAAAGCAACAATAATAGCGAATTGCATAGAAAGTTTTGAAGCCATTTTAGCCCTTTCTACCAAACCAGCGCCCAATAAATTTCCAATACGATTTGATGCAGCTGTAGAAACTCCAAATGATAATTGATATAAAAAATTAATTGAAGTAATTATTATACCTTGAGATGCAAGTGAAAGTTGACCAAGATATCCAGAAAGAAGAGATATAAGTTCAAATGCCCACCACTCTGAACAAACCATTAAGATACCAGGAATCATATATGAAAGAATATGTTTCCAACCATGAAATGCAGCACGTGACCATCCACCCCAAGCTTGATATCCATTAATGAATTTAGTATAAATAGCAAGAAGGAAAAACATTAACCAATAGGTTATAGATGTGGAAATAGGTGCTCCAATGAAACCAAGAGATAGTGGTTTATACCAAACCAATGTGAAATTTATGCATATGTCAATTATGCAACAGATTATTAATACATATGTACTAGCTTTCATTATCCCTATGCATCGATAGTATTTGTTAACTAATTCATTCATATTACTGTATTATTAATTTATAATGTGAATTTATGTTTACCTTGGGCTTGTAAATATCTCTTCAAATTTTCAAACAACAAAAATGCAGGGGCTCCAATCAATAAATATTTGAGAAATAAAGCAGTTTTTGCAGAAATTTCGGGAGATTGACCAATTAAAGTCAAAATTAGTTCTGCTTCCCACCAAATAAAAGCGATCGGAATAAATCCTAACAAATTTATAATAATGGCACGTTGTAAATATACTCCAACCATTTTTAAGTTGCCAGATGTATAGGCTTGCGAACAAAGGGTATCAAGCGCTGTCGCAGAACCATATATTACCGCCGAAAATGTAACTTGAAAACTCTAATTAGTTAAAAATATTATTAGTTAGGAATAAATGGGTTGTAAATTTATCAAGTTATATATATATGTTGCTTCCATTATAAATCTCTTATGTGAACCGTTTAAACTCTCAATATGTTAAATTGATTCCCAGAGGTGTCTTTATAGCGAGAGTGACAGATCTTATAGGGCAATCTCACAGGTCGGAATCCATCGGAGTCATAATATTAAGTATGCAACTTTCTATCGCAATAGCAAAAATTATCATTTGGTATTTTTCGCATAATGAGTGAACTTGGGTAATGCTGACCAGCCGATCAGGTATTCTGACCCAAAATTGCCCTATGAAAAATTCTTCCTGTATTATGGCATTGTATACTAAATAGGGTTGTTAAACTACATATGTTACGTTAACATAATAATGCCTGAAATAATCTTAAAGTTGACTGCTTTAGCATTTATATTTGTAATTTATTGAAGCTATTTTACTCTAATGCTGGCCAAAATTAACCTTAAAGCCCGCTGCTTTAGCACCTTGTAAATATGACCCCATCAACTTAACCAGAGACCATTTTGATCTACTGATTTAACCAACCAATCAGATCTATCCAACCAAACACTGTAAATATGATTATTACCATTGTAGCCAGTGTCGAGGCGGCCAGCTCTACTGAACCCTAATAAAATTTTTTTAATTTCGATTAGATCAAAAATTTTCTAAGAGAAAACTCGTTATTTGATTTATAAGTTTAAACGCAACACGTTACCAAGTGACCTAGCGATAATACACTAATCAACTGTATTGAAGTTTGTAATAGATATGCCACTGAAACGGGAATTGCTTTCCTGATAATATATCCTCTTTCTTCCCATTCATTGAGAGCTTTACTTAATATCATCTCATCTCTGACATTATCTTCGATATCGCCATTTTTACGATTTGTTATTTCTTTAGAATTAGCTTTATCCCAATTTTCTTTGTCCTTTGATGTAGTTGACATTACCTTTTCTTTAATAACATACCTTAGCTGATAATGAACTTTGAGAGGTGAATAAGCCAATCTTATTGTTAATATTCAAGAAAACCAGTTGCAACTACGATAATGATAATAATAAACAGTAACATAGCCTAAAAGCTTTTCTTAGCATGCAAACAAACTTTCACATGATGTAACGTGTGGCGACTTTTTTTTGAAACATATAAATCAAAAAGATTTTCTTATAATTATTAAGTTTTAAAGCAATTCAAATTTTTATTTGTACTTGATGTATAATATTTACAGGCTGAGTAAAGGTAATGCAATAATTGTCACTCAAGTGTGGTTTAAGAATGTAGGTGTTTTGAGTTAAAATTGTTGCTTACTGAGCTAAATCCTGAATAAACTATATTTAATCTTCCTCGATCCAATAACAGTAAACCGAATTTACAAATTTTAGTTTGTATCTTTCAATTATCAATGAAGGCTGGTGGCTGCCCGCACGTGCTACTGCTAGTTTAATTACGATATATATACTGTATTATAAAAAAGTACGGCTATTCGGTTTTAATAAAGTACAAACCTGCAATGATAACGTAATTAGTAAATATCAAACATATTATAATTCAAGTTTGCTAAAAAACTTAATTTTATACTTTACGTTTAAAATTTCATATACAAAAATAATTGCTTTAATCTTTACTACCTTAGCAAAAAAAAAAAATCTAGTTTATCTGTTCTAAATTTTTTTAAATAACTTTTCGATACTTGTACATTATACGTATCTAGAATTCGTTATAGGTCGATTATATAATAGAATAAATTATGAGTCTATCTACTATTAAATTTTTTATACATATACGTATACTAACGCTTTCCTTTTTTATTGGTCTACACAATGTCTTTCATGACGTATGTTAATTTTCTATAATTAGTATCACTTCTATGTCATTACTTCATAAGTAGTAGGTCATCACTCATTATCATTATCGAATTATTACTACATCGTTCTCTCATTCTTGATAATTGGGTTGGAAGGTGTGATAACTTACGATTAGGGCTGTTAAAAAGCTTGTTGGACCCGGTTCTTGAGTCGCCTTCACACGGACTTTTCAGGACTGACTCAAACCTGTCCCGTACAAAGTCCCATATGCATGTCTTTTGTTCCAATTTGTGATCCATATAATTGGTCAAATGCATGTTGTTTGTTCATATTGTGTTCAGGAGGCATTCATATGATTGGCTAATTTATATCGAGATTTATCTGATTATTACATGTACGGACTCGACTCAAGGACCGAGTCCTAATCGAAGTCCCTATTTACAAAGTCAGGACCGAAAGGATCGGACTTTTAACAGCCCTACTTACGATACATAAATTATATATAAATTTATATATCGCTCTCTCATTATTTAAAATCACATTCATTTTATAAATATCCAGTCCCTTAATGTTTATAACATAGGTTATACCGGTATAATAGAAACGGTAGTATAATACCCAAGTATAATATCCAAGTATAATGCCCAAGTATAATACCGTATAATACGGTATAGCATTGGGGTATTAGATACCAAATGATTTAGTATCATAGTGCAGCACTATATGATTGGCCTACTATTTAAGATTTTTAAAATTTTATCATAGTAATTTTATATAATAAAAACCGTATATTTTTAAAATGGTCTAACTCTCGCTCTAGCAGAGCAAATTCAATTCTGTAACTTGTAAATGATATATAAACAGGATGATTTTAAAACTATGCTGAGATATTTTTATTTCATTTTGTCAAGTTGGCGAAAATTACGAATTAATAATTATTGTCGCAGTTGATGATGAAAACGGCTGATGCTGAAATTTCGATTATTTTATTATTAAATTTTTAAAAATTTTTTGGGCCTTTTCGT